GGCCATTAGCAGGAAACTGGATTAGAAGTGGAACAGCTAGGACTTGAACTGGCACCCATATGGCATGCTGACATTGCAAATGGCGACTTTACCCAGCTTTGCCCACTGCATCACAGTGCCAGCCTCCTAGTTTTGTTTTTAAAAAAGTTGTCCACCTTGAACCTCCAGTGATTCATGAATTCCATTGGTTTTCCTGCTCTGGTTTCTGCTCCAGTAAATTCTGATTCTTTTTTTTTTTTTTTTTTGGCAGAGTGGACAGTGAGAGAGAGAGAGAGAGAGAGACAGAGAGAAAGGTCTTCCTTTTGCCGTTGGTTCACCCTCCAATGGCCGCCGCTGCAGCCGGCGCACCGCGCTGATCCTGGCAGGAGCCAGGAGCCAGGTGCTTTTCCTGGTCTCCCATGGGGTGCAGGGCCCAAGCACCTGGGCCATCCTCCACTGCACTCCCTGGCCATAGCAGAGAGCTGGCCTGGAAGAGGGGCAACCGGGACAGAATCCGGCGCCCCAACCGGGACTAGAACCCGGTGTGCTGGCGCCGCAAGGTGGAGGATTAGCCTATTGAGCCACGGCGCCGGCAAATTCTGATTCTTTATACCTGTTTGTCTCTAGTTTATGGGAAGTCATTTATTTTTTATTTTATTTTTTTTATTTTTATTTTTTTTGACAGGCAGAGTGGACAGTGAGAGAGAGAGACAGAGAGAAAGGTCTTCCTTTGCCGTTGGTTCACCCTCCAATGGCCGCCGCGGCCAGCGCGCTGCGGCCGGCGCACCGCGCTGATCCGATGGCAGGAGCCAGGAGCCAGGTGCTTTTCCTGGTCTCCCATGGGGTGCAGGGCCCAAGCACCTGGGCCATCCTCCACTGCACTCCCTGGCCACAGCAGAGGGCTGGCTTGGAAGAGGGACAACCGGGACAGAATCCGGCGCCCCGACCGGGACTAGAACCCGGTGTGCCGGCGCCGCTAGGCGGAGGATTAGCCTAGTGAGCCGCGGCACCGGCCCGGAAGTCATTTATTTTGATATTTTCCCATTTGTTCAGTTTTTTGTGTGTTTGTAAGGATGACAGTGTTAGGGCCAGCACTGTGGCATAGTTGGTTAAGCCTCCGCCTGCAGCGCCAGCATCCCATATGAGCCCCGGTTTGTATCTGAGCTCTTCTTCCCATCCAGCTCTCTGCTATGTCCTGGGAAGGCATTAGAAGATGGCCCAAGCGCTTGGGCCCCTGCACCTGTATGGGAGGCCCTGAAGAAGCTCCTGGCTTTGGATCAGCCCTGCTCCGGCCAGTGGTGACCATTTGGGGAGTGAACCAGCAGATGGAAGGCCTCTCTCCCTGTCTCTCTCTGACTGTAACTCTGCTTCTCAAATAAATAAATAAAACCTTAAAAAAAAAAAAAGCCTCTGCCTGTGGCACTGGCATCCCATTTGTGTACCGATTTGTGTCCCATTTGCTCTAACTTCTGAACCAGCTCTCTGCTAATGACCTCAGAAAGCAGAGGAAGATGGCCCAGGTGTTTGGGCCCCTGCACCCACGTGGGAGACCCAGATGAAGCTCTTGGCTCCTGGCTTCAGATTGGCCCAGCTCCAACTGTTGTGGAATGAACCAGCGCATGGAAGACCTCTCTGTCTCTAACTCTTCCTCTCAGATAAATAAATACTTAAAAAATTAAAGATGATAGTGGCAGCTTCCCAGCTCCTTACCTGTCTGACTGGAGAATGAATGCCTTAATTTTTTTTAAATGACAGGATTTCCTTTATTTTGTTGTTATTAAGATTTATTTATTTATTTATTTGAAAGGTAGAGTGAGAGAGACGGAAAGACAGAGAGAAATCTTCTATCTACTGGTTCACTCCTCAAATAACTACAATGGCTGAGGCTGGGCCAGGCTGAAGTCAGGAGCTTCATCCGGGTCTCCTATGTGGGTGCAGGGGCGAAGGTCTTGGGCTGATCTGCTGCCTTCCCATGCCATTATCAGGGAACTGGATTGGAAGTGGAGCAACCAAGACTCGAGCTGGTGCCCATATGGGATGCTGCTATTGCAGGTGGTGGCTTATCTCTTTGCCCCGCAACACCAGCCCCAAATGTCCTAATTTTTTATAAATATTATTTATTTATTTATTTGAAGAGTTACACAGAGAAGGAAAGGCAGAGAGAGAGGTCCTCCATCTGCTGGTTCACCCCCTAGATGGCTGCAATGGCTGGAGCTGCCCCAACCTGAAGCCAGGAGCCAGGAGCCTCTTCTGGGTCTCCCATTGGACCATCCCCCACTGTTTTCCAAGGCCATAGCAGAGATCTACATAGTAAGTGGAGAGGCCAGGACTCAAACCATTGCCCTTTATGGGATGCTGGCACTGCAGGCGGCAGCTTTACCTGCTCTGCCACGGCACCGGCCCCGCCTTAATTTTTCAATATTTTTAGTGGACAAAAAGAATTCTGGCTGACAGGTTTTTGTTGCCAGTACTGTAAAGAATGTTTCTCTGTGGTCTTCTGCCTTGCAGCAGAATTCTTACCCCATCCTTGTCTGGCTATTGGCATTCTGTGCGCTTGTAAGGGTTGTGTTTTTGGGATCAGGGAGAGAAAGAGAAACTTTTTTTTGACAGGCAGATTTAGACAGAAAGGTCTTCCTTCTGTTGGTTCACCCCACCCCACCCCCAATAAATGGCTGCTACGGCCGGCCCGGCGCTGTGCCAATCCGAAGCCAGGAGCCAGGTGCTTCCTCCTGGTCTCCCATGTGGGTGCGGGGCCCAAGCACTTGGGCCATCCTCCACTGCCTTCCCGGGCCACAGCAGAGAGCTGGACTGGAAGAGGAGCAGCTGGGTGTAAGGTCTTTTAAGCGTTGGCTTTTGACAGCTTGATGTGTCTTGGTGCAAGTTCACTATGCTTAGATTCTTCTTGGGCCTGTGAGTTTATAGTTTTCATCGTATTAGATACATGTTGCTGATTATTTCTTCAAACACAGATAGCCTTTCTTCTCTTCATTCCTGTTTTCTGGGACTTCCAGTTATATGCACATTTGATGGCTTCCCAGTGTCCAGTGCTTCTCAGTCTCCCCCTCCTTCCCTCCCTCCCTCTCCTCCCCACCCCTCTCAGTTTTGAGCAGTTTCAGACGCTGTCTCTGAACGCTGGGATGTATTCTTTGTCAGTGTTTGTGGGAGGTCATTCCCGGGCATTTTCGTTTCACGTTGTTTTCGCTGCTTCTCAGAGTCAGCGTTTGGATTTCCTTTTGCCCTGGTTCCTGCTGCATGAGCTGTTACTGCCCTCATCCTCTGGTTCCTTTACGTCCACCACTTCTAGGTCAATTTCTGTTGGTTCGTTTTATGTTTTAATCTTACTTCCTTTTTTGCATATGTGTTGTAGCAATTATCTGTTTGTTGCCTCTAAACACTATAACCTACTTGTGATACTGTTATGAGCTGAATTGGGCCTAAATTAGTATGTAGAATCTTGCCTTAAATTTAGAGAATTCTAAATGTGGGCCGAAACATGGCATGCAGTGTGATCAACTTTATTTACAAAGTGAGAAAATACACAGGCTTATTAGGGCCTTATTAAAGGAGAAGGGCCAAAGAAAGGGAATTATCGTACCCTGCTCTGCTTGTTCTGAATCCATGAGGAGGAGAGAGTGCACGTCCATTCTCCTAGCTTTTTTTTTTTTTTTTTTTTTGACAGGCAGAGTTAGACAGTGAGAGAGAGAGACAGAGAGAAAGGTCTTCCTTTTCCGTTGGTTCACCCCCCAAATGGCTGCTACGGCCAGCGTGCTGCGTCAATCGGAAGCCAGGAGCCAGGTGCTTCCTCCTGGTCTCCATGCGGGTGCAGGGCCCAAGCACTTGGGCCATCCTCCACTGCACTCCCGGGCCACAGCAGAGAGCTGGACTGGAAGAGGAGCAACCAGGACAGAATCCAGCGCCCCAGCCAGGACTAGAACGCGGGGTATTGGCGCTGCAGGCGGAGGATTAGCCTAGTGAGCCATGGCGCCGGCCCTTCCTAGCTTTTTATGAGCTAAGAAAAACGTGGTTAGGGCAGGCTCTGTGGCACAGCGGGTTAACACCCTGGCCTGAAGCGCCGGCATCCCATATGGGCGCCGGTTCTAGTCCTGGCTATTCTTCCCATCCAGCTCACTGCTATGGCCTGGGAAAGCAGTAGAAGATGGCCCAAGTCCTTGGGCCCCTGTACCCACGTGGGAGACCTGGAGGAAGCTCCTGGCTCCTGGCTTCAGATTGGCGCAGTGCCGGCCGTTATGGCTATCTGGGGACTGAACCAGCAAATGGAAGACCTCTCTCTGTCTCTACCTTTCTGTGTAACTCTATCTTTCAAAAAACTAAAATAAATCTTAAAAAATGAAAAGAAAAAAATGTGGTATCACCACTATGTCCCGGGTAGGAGGAGGTACTTCTGGGGAGGGGTTCCCTGATTGACAGGAAGATGACATGACAGCACAGAACCAAGAAGGTGCGGCTTCCAGTTTATGAACTCAAAACTGTCTAAGCCTTTCGACATCACTACCAGACTGCCTTGCCCAGTGCTACTCTTTGTAGCTAGAGGAGAAAGGGCCTCCTTTCTCGCTCCCGTGTGCTTTGCCGTGTCTGTGCTGTAGCATGGGCTGGCATGTGGGACACAGGGTGTTCAGGCAAATTCATAGCGCCCCAGCTGGCTGCCTGGCAACTTCCTGGTGACTTCAACAGCCTCGCGGCTCTTTCTCTGCCCTGGCCTTGCCTTGGGATAAAACTTCACCACTGGGGCTGGCGCTGTGGTGCACGGAAGGGGACAGTAGTTCTGGGCCTGAGGGGTTAAGGGGTCCGTCAGGGCAGCGTTCAGCTGCCCCTGCAGCACTGGCTTCCCATGCCGGCACCAGATTGAGTCCTGGCGGCGGCACTTCTACCCAGCGCCCTACACCCTTGCAGGGAACGCAGCTGAAGATCCTGGCTTCAGCTTGGCTGAGCCCTGGCTGTGCGGCCGTTGGCAGGGTGAACTGGCGGTTGGAAGTCTGTGTCTCCCTCTCTCTCTCTTTTTGTAACTCTGCGTTTCAAAAAAATAAATCTGAAAAAAAACTTGGTCCACTGGGCAGCTCGCCCTCTCCCAGGTCTGACCGTTCCTTTAAGTGCCTGCCTCGCCCCGAGCGCACTGCAGTGAGTTCTCCCTGCAGCTCTCTAGTTGGTTCCTGTCAGCAGCTGGGGAGGCTTGCTTCTGAGCCTGGAGCGGTGGGCCGGACTTGCGCCGAATCGGCGGCTAGCTGAGCCCGCTCCTCGGGGTGAGGCCCTCCTCAGGAAGCTGACATGCCGTGAATCAGGACGGGGCGTGTGGGGACACAAAGTGATCCCATCCCGTGGGAGCTCTGGGGACCGCCCCTCCACTCCTTTTGAGCGGCTCTTTCCCCGGCTGTCTCCTGGGTTTGTCTCACACACTGGAGGGGGAGCTGCGAGTCCAGGCCCCTGGCTCTGTAGCCCTGCGGAGGACAGCCGCCTCGGCCTCTCGGGAGCCGGTGGGCTCTGCGGGCCTGCCTGTGCTGCAGCCTGGATCCTGCCTCTCGCTGCGGCTGGTGCCGTCAGGGTGTGCCCTGCCTCGGGTCCCAGCTCAGGGATTGCTGGCCCGCACTGATGTTCCCAGTTGTTCTTCCGTCCTGAGTGAGTCTGTAAGCACTTGGGCAGGGAGACAGCCTCTCGGGAGCTTGATGCTGTTCACAGTGGGCTGGCCTGACGGCTGTCATTAACACTCCCTCTTCCTCTTCTTCCTCACCAGCCATGACACGGGGCAGCGAGACTGCAGCGGCTGCGAGCGAACGGGTGGTGACGCCGGCTCCCAGCAAGCTCGCGCTGCACCAGCTCCCAGCGACTCTGTCGGTGGTGGGTGCGGCACCTCCGAAGGTCAGCGCCTCCTGCCAGGACCCAAGTGAGGATAGCACCTGGTCAGCCAAGGGCTGGCGAGGGCGGGGCCGCTGCCCTGCCTCAGTGGCCCCACAGTGATTCCAGCAGACTCTGGACGATGGAGAGCAGGCCTGACCGGGCCACCTAAGCCTGCCTCTCTGGCTTTGGGTTGACCAGAGGACCCAGCCAGATGCATCCCAGCCTCTGGGTGCCATTGCTGCTCCTGCCGGAGGCCTGGGAGTGGCAGGAGCTGGAGGAGGCTGCTGCTGTCCACGGTGAGGGGCCCCGCGCACAGTGAGAGGTAAGCGGGTGGTGGGAACCGACGCCCCAGCCCGAGCCTGCCGCCTTAAAGTTCCCGAGGCAACTGGGTGCTAGGGCTGCCTTTCCTGTCTGCTCTGGGTGCCTTCCCGGCTGGGGCACTGATCGTTGGTTGGAGAACGCAGGCGAGGCCCTTCGTCTGCCCACACTTAAGGGTCCGGTCTAGGCAGGACAAAGGGCAGCAGGTCTCTCAGACTGCAGGCCTGGGGGCCACTGTTGGGGGAAGCCTCCTCAGATGAGCCTGGCTTGTGAAATGGCCTCTACTCAGCACCCAAGCCCTCCCCTCCCCAGAACCCCCAACCCCAGGGAAGAGATGAGCTCTGGAAAACATAATGCCTCATGGCTCCCCCAGGAGTGGGAGCCTGGGGCCCACGGTCTCCCCATGCCAGGGCAGGGGGCCGCACTGTATCACTGTCCTGTACATGAAGTCCAGAGGTGCCCAGGGTCGACAGTGGGTGGGGACATGTGGCTACAGGGACCTGGAGACACGGGCATGACTGACACCAGCCTTGCTGGCTGCCCGGGGAAGGAGAGGGCTCTGGTGGCAACCACTCGGCTTGGCTTTGTTCTCAGCTGTACCTGCTGCCACGTAGGCACTGCCCTGCTACGCCAGCCTTGGTCCCGGGGCTGCTGGCCGGGGCGTGATGCCCTGTCCTCTGTTGGGGAAGGCCCAGGCCAGCTCCTCCTGGGGGCCTGTGCCTAGCATTTCTCACCTGTGGCCTGGGGCCTCCGAGTCCAGCAAGTGGACAGAGCTCTCTTTCTGGCAGTGAGTTCGTCTGCATCCTGCGTTGACAGATCCCCAGGCCCCAGGACTGCCGGCCCCTGTGCTGATGGATCCCCCTAGGTCCCAGGACTGCTGGCCCCTGTGCTGACGGATCCCCAGGCCCCAGGACTGCCGGCCCTTGCGCTGACGGATCCCCAGGCCCCAGGACTGCTGGCCCCTGTGCTGACGCATCCGCTGGCCCCTGCCATCGGAGCCTGTGTGAGCTGCTCCTTTAGCCCTCAGCTCGCTGCCTCCTCCTGCCAGGCCTGGGCGCTGGAGGCCTAGGAGTCTGACCTGTGGCAGAAGCCAGCCTTCATGCGTTCCTCGGAGAAGATGGAGTCACCCCCCACGGGCTCTTACACCTCTCTGACACTCACCTGCACCCAGCGCCTGCTGGGCCTCGGACCTTGTTCTAGCCGCTGCCTCCTGAGCCCAGCTCTCAGGGTCCGGTGGGAGATCCGCAGCAGAGTGTGCGTCAGACGAGCGCCGTGGTGAGAAGGGGGAGGAGAAAGCAAGATGCAGACAGCAGTGGGATGCACTGTGCTGCTTTAAAGTGGGCGTTCAGGAGGCAGCATTGGGCCGAGGCTCGTGGGAGGGGTCGCGCCGTGCAGGTGGCAGGGGGCTCTGGGGGGGAACAGTGCAGAGACCCTGAGGCAGGAGCCTGTTTGGCAAACCTGGTGAAATCGTCTCCGTGGAATGCCCCATGGCTGGTCCTGGGCAGGAGACGGCAGTGACAGCTCGGCTCCCTCGGTCCTGGCTGGGCACGTGGGCAGTGAGCCAGTGGATAGACGATCCGTTGCCCTCTCTCTTCCACACTCTGTGCCTTTCTCTCTCTCTCTCTCTCTTTTAAGATTTATCGATTTTACTTGAAAGTCACAGTTACGCAGAGAGAGGAAAGGCAGAGAGAGAGGTCCTCCACCCACTGGTTCACTCCCCAGATGGCCACAATGGCCGGAGCTGTGCCGATCCAAAGCCAGGAGCCAGGAGCTTCTTCTGGGTCTCCCACATGGTTGCAGGGGTCCAACGACTTGGGCCATCTTCCACTGCTTTCCTGGGTCACAGCAGAGAGCTGGATTGGAAGTGGAGCAGCTGGGTCTCGAACTGGCGCCATATGGAATGCCGGCACTGCAGGCGGTGGCTTTACCTGCTACACCACTACACCGGCCCCACACTCTGTGCCTTTCAAACAAAATGAAAATAAATAAGTAAACATCTGAAATAAAGTGTGTGGGGGCCAGTGTCATGGTGCAGTGGGTAGAACCACCACCTGCAATGCTGGCATTCCACATGGATGCTGATTCGTGTCCAGGCTGCTCTACTTTGATCCAACTCCCTGGGCCTGGGAAAGCAGCGGAGGATGGCCCAAATGTTTGGGTCTCTGCACTCACATGGGAACCTGGAGGAAGCTCCCGGTGTGGCCTGGCCCAGGCCTGGCTGTTGCAGCATTCAGGGGAGTGAACCAGGAGATAGGAAATCTCTCTGTGTCTCTTCTCTCTCTGTAAATCAAACTTTTAAAATAATATGCAAATCTTTAAAAAAATAAAATTTGTTTAAAATGGCATTAAAAGTTGAGTTTATTGTGTAGAATAATTTTGAAATCTGTGCCTTTTTTTATAATACACATTTTTCATGAACTTTTATAAGATCCCCATATGCATGGTTTTCAGAAAGTTTTTTGCACCAAAATAAATTTATCATTTATTTGCATTGTCCTCCAGCTGTTTGAAGTCCCTTCTTACTGCTGGGAGATGTGCACTCCGCCTGTGCTAGGCAGGCTAGCCCGGCCGCTTGTGCAGCTCCGTCTTTGCCACCTCCTTTTGCAGTGACTGCGCCAGGACCCGAAGGTACTGCAAGCAGACTCTGGTCCCACGTGAGCAGCTCCCGGCCGGCCCCTCGTGCCGAGGCCTGGAGGACGGCCCAGTGGCCCCGCGCCCTGCAAGCTTGAGCTTGCTGAGGTGAGACCTGCTGTCGGTCCTGGGCGCGGGCAGCTCCGGCGAGCTGCAGGCAGTACCGGGGGCTGGGGACACTAGGCTGGGAGTTTGGGCCTGCGGAAGCCCGAGATGCCAGTTCCCCGTCCGGACGGCTCGTGAAGCTGCTCGGGCCAGAGAAGCAGGAATGACCAGAAAGCAGTGTGGTCGTGGCAGTCTCCTGGGGCTGGGAGCTCAGGGCTGTGCGAAGGAGGAAGCCTCTAGGAAATCTGCGAGGCCCCTGTGGGGGGAAGCCCAGCGGACTGGTCTTTACAAGGGGGCCAGGGGCTTCGTGCCAGCCTGCTGCTGTCCACACGAGGCCAGCCTTGCCTCAGCACCTGGCCCGCCCCTGCTGTCCTGCCTGAAGCTCAGGGCGGGCGGATGGGGGAGTGTGCACTGGGGTCGTGGAGATGGGGCTTCTATCCGACGTGGACTTGAAGGAAGCTGTGGTAGGTGTCGTGAGGAAAAGAGGTGAGATGGAGAACTGGAGTTCATGAAAACAACGTGTGACTGAGACGTGAGACCCAGCAGGCGGACTCCCCAGCAGATGGTCCACTGCAGGGAGGGTTAGTGAGTGGGAAGCAAGCTCACCTGGGCGCGCCACGACCACAACGCTCACGCTGCCAGCCTCAGGTGGGGAGACGCCCCCTGGAAGGCCGCCTGTGCTCGGGAGGGGCTGAGCCTTTGGGATGGGAAGAACTGACGCGTGAGCCCCTCTGCCGCCCAAGAAGCGGGGTCCCGTGACGAGACCCCAAAGGGCCTTGGCCACGCTGGGAACAGAAGCTCGCGTGTGCACTTGGCCCCGGGCGGTAGATGCAGACCTCCAGCACGTGCAGTTTCGAAAATGGCTTTGTAAACTTCATTTGCAGCTCTCCCAAAGGCAGAAACGGGTGGCCTAGGGCAGGGGAGGGGTAGTCACGGGGGCTGGGCCGGCTGGCTGCCCGCACCAGGCGTGGAGGCCACCGTTCTGCCGCTGCGCATGGCCGGCTCTGGTGAGTCTGCAGGTTAGATGCGTGTGGTCCTGGGAAATTTTCCGTCCTGAGCTAATGCCTTCTTTATGACAAACAAGAAAATGCACGCAGGCTGGGAGCCGAGGCTGGGTCTCGGGCCAAGGGCAACACGTGAACCGAGTGAAGGCTGTCACCTGTTCGGTCACTGAGTACAGGGTTGAATGCAATGTCATGGCAGAGCTCTGGGCCTTCCCCTGGCTCAGCCGGGTGAGCCCGCGTCCTCTAAGGAGCTGCGTCGTGGCCCGGACAGCGGCTGTGGCGGGAACGCTCCTTGGAGATGCATGCTCAGTGCCCGGGGTCGTGGCCGCCATGCTCCTCTCAGAACGCGGTTTTCTCTGGCAGGTTCCCTGGAGAGGGGCCTTCTCTGGCTTGGCCAGTGCCCAGCAGTGGGGCAGCTCAGGGATGGGCAGGGGCAGCGAGGCTGCGGTGTGCTGTCTGCGCCCCAGGCACTGCTGTAGCGTCCTGGTTGTTTTGTGCACAAAGAGGATGACGCCCCTGCTTCATGAAACTTGTGTTTTGGTTGAGGAGCCGGAAAGGAGCAAATAGATGAAAACAAACATGGACGTGGGTCACGAAAAGCCTGGGGCTGTGCTGGAGCTGGGAGTCAGGACAGCTTTTGTGAAGTGGAGATGTTTGCACAGAGCAGGGGTGGCAGCCGCATCCCACGGGGCAGGCCGTGCACTGAGAAAGCAGTGACGTCTGCGGACACGGGGAGGCGGTGTCCTGGGAGCACGCGTGCAGGGACAGGAGTGACAGGCCTGCACTCAGATGCCTGTGGGGCGGGCTCAGGGACCACGGCTACAGGTGTTTGAGCCGTGGATGGGGTGCTGGGGCCCCGGCAGTGAGCAGGGAGGGCCAGGGGTGCAATCAGACCCGCAGTGGCAAGTTACAGTGCCCGCCAGATGACCGAGGGGAGGTCCCCTGCCTGAGTGCTTCTTGAGCAGGCGTTGGGAACAGCTCCCCTGGGAAGGTCACAGGGCCCTCTGTGCGCCAGCCTGCTAGTCCCCTCCCTCCCCCGTGTGCCCTGTGCCGCTGTGTCCTGCCCTGCGACCACTGCCCTTCCGCCTGCTCCCCACCTTCTGAGCTGACTCAGCACCTCTCCACCACCAGAGGAGCCTTCGGAGACGCAAACCTGGGTGTTCAAGGTTTTCTTGTTTTCTTCAGTCTTCATTTTTTTGGGAAAGCGTTTATTTCAAAGAGCAACAGAGAGTTGGGGAGAGACAGAAAGATCTCGTATTTGCTGGTTTACTTCCAAAGTGGCTACCATGGCTGGGGCTGGGCCAGGCCAAAGCTGGGAGCAAAGAACTCCATCTGGGCCTCCCATGCAGGTGCAGGGGCCCAGGTACTTGGCCCGTCTGCCCCTGCCTTCCCAGGTGCACGAGCACGGAGCTGGACTGGACGCCGAGGAACTAGGACTCAAACCAGTGCTCAGTGTGGGATGCTGCTACCTCGGGCGGCGGGTTAACCCTCGGCAGCACCTCGGCCCCGCATTTCCTTTGTTCACATGAACCTGCTACATTACTCTGGGATATGGCATTACATCTAGTTGTGTGTCTTATGAAGTGAAAAAGAAAAGTTAATCCCGGAGACTTCGAGCATATTCAGAAGGGGAGAGTGACATCATGGACCTTCATGCACCTGGCAGTGTTTTGAAGTGAATCCCTGGCGTCGTAGCATTTAACCTTTACTGTTTCCTTTTCTTCATTTTATTCGTTTTTCCACTTTAACTTTTTAAAAATGTATTTATTTGAGAGGCAGAGTTACAGACAGGGAGAAACAGAGATCTTCCATCCCCTGGTTCACCCCCCGAATGGCCACAACGGCTGCAGCTGAGCTGATCCAAAGCCTGGAGAGCCAGGAGCTGCTTCTGGGTCTCCCACGGGGGCTTGCAGGGGCCCAAGGACTTAATCATCTTCCACTGCCTTCCCAGGCCATAAGCATAGAGCTGTAGCAGAAGAGGAGCAGCCAGGACAAAAACCGGTGCCCTTATGGGATGCCGGCACTGCAGGTGGAGGCCTAACCTACCACGCCACAGGGCTGGCCCCTCATTTTAATTTTTATATAAAAGATATGTAGAGATCTTCATTCCCTGAAGCCAGGAGCCCAGAACTCCATCTGGGTGTCTTATGTGGGTGACAGGGACCCAAGTACTTGGGCCATCACCTGCAAGGTGCTGTCCTGATGACACGGAGTAGCCGGGACTTGAGTCCGGGCACCTCGGTATGGGGTGTGGGTGTTCTGACTGCTGCACCTGCCCTTAAATGTCTCATCCACACCGACTCTTAAGCGCATGGTCACGGGGCCGTCGCCGACCGTGAAAGCGTGACATTGCATCAGCTCCGGTTGGCATCCTGACTTCCCTCTCAGATGACTTGTTTGTTGAACAAGGTCTGCTCATGTGTCAACGGGTGCTTGTTCCAGAGTTCACAGGAGCGCCGCACATTTACTGACCGACCTGTTTCAGGTCTCAGTTTAACCTGCGGCACCCTCCTCCGTTCTTTGACCGCCCCTTTCTTGGCATTTATGGTGGGGCTGGCCTTTGCGCTGGCCGCCTCCCCGGAGTCTGGGTGGTGCTGCGGAGAGGAGCCCCCGTCCTGTTTGCGCTCCGTGTTTCGGCCTGCATGTGTGGTCAGATTCAGGACTGCTTTGCCAGGGGCTCTTGCCTGGTGCTGCCTGTACCAGGACCAGGAGGCACTGACTGGTGTCCCTGGCCCTTGGCACTCAGTGCCTCGATTAGGGACCACACGTAGTGCGTTTCAAACCCCAGCATTGCTTCCTCAGGTGGCAGCTGGCTACTGCTGTCTAAAGAGAACCTGCGGAACTGCTGATTGCCGCAGTGCTGTGTGTGTGTGTGTGTGTGTGTGAACTCACGCATTTACACACAAGTGGTATGTAATGTGCTGCAAGTATTCCCTGCAGATGCGTGTGTAGAACTGAGATTTTCTTCATAGGAGGTTGTCGAAGGAGTTATGAGGAAGGCCAGAGAAGAGAGACTCTTCAGAAAGTGGGCTGAGCTGCCACCCGGGTGCGCCCAGTCTCCTAGTTGTGGTTCAGTGGGTAAATACGGATGGACTGCCCGTGTCCTGGCGACAGGCACTCGGCTTCATTTGTGAGTTGCCATGCTCGCGGGCTGGGGATCTGCTTGGACTGCACACGCACGGTGCCTCATTGTTTGCTCCCCATGGATCTGGCCTGGTGCTCACTGTTCCTGCGCCTGGGTGCACACAGAGGCCCCGGGCTTTGCAGACAGGACCTGATGTTGGGACGAGAACTGCCCTGAGCTGGGTGTGCAAAGGTGGTGTGTGTCCCTGCATCTCTGAGTTAAAAAGCACCTAGTGCCCCGCTTTGAGCTCACTGGGGTGCCACTGTGTGGTCCATGCCCGACCCGTTTTCCCTGTCCTGGCCATGTGTGCGCGTACCCAGTTGCCACCTCCCCGCGCGCGGGGCAGGCACGCAGCTCTCCCTGCCAGGGCGGGCTCTGGCCTTCGCCACCCCCGTGCTGTCTCTGTTGTTTTCTTCACCCTTTTCATGGCTTGGGTGTCAGTGAGCCGTTGCTGCGTGCTCTCTCCCTTCCTGCATCTGTGACAGGTTTAATTTAAAAGGAAACCCCAGTTCCTTGGGGCCGAGGTAAACAGCCTGCCCTGACCCTAGAAGGGGTCAGCTTTCCTGTGTGGCCATGGGCTAGTGGTGCCCGTTTCCCTGTTGGTGTGACCTTGAGGAGCGCTGAGCTTCCTCCTCCTCCCTGATGCCAGGTCCTGGGCCTGGGCCTGGGCCCCAGCATGGGAGCGTCCCCCGTGCTGGCTGCTGGGCCTGGGCTCGGCCGTGAGACCACAGGCAGAGGGCCAGTGCGGTTCTCCCTGCAAGCTTCCACCTCGCCCATGTCGGAAGAGCCCCAAACGAGGCCTGCCTGACCACGGAGATGCCCTGCTGGCCTGGTGGACGTCTGAGGGATGGAGCAGTATGGGGGCAGGCCTGTGAGACGGTAAGTGGTCCGGGGTGGAGGGACCATGTCGGACGTGAGACAGCTGCTTTGCTTCACTCAATCCCAGGAGGAGGCCTTGGTCTTGGCCCCTTAGGAAGACTGAAGACATGGGTGAAGACACTGTGGGAAACCTGGACAGGCCCCTGGGCTACCTACCCAGTGGTGCCCAGCACTCCACCCTGGTACCAGGGAGGCCGAGTCCCAACTTGGCAGCTGGTGTGCGGAGGCAGGAGGGTAAGGACTGCCCCGGAACTCCGAGCGGCCCACCAGAGACCCTCAAGGGGCCGGACTGACATGAGCCGTGTGGTGCAGCTGGTTTGATCCTGTGGAGGGCGGTGCTGGCCTGTAGGGTTGCTCCCGCTCCTGCGCCTGTCAGAGGCAGGCACACCTGCGTCGAATATGCCTTTGCCTGGTGTCTGCGGACTGGAGTTTGCGGAGGCTGTCTCAGCCTTGGGCATGGACAGCAGGGGAGCGATGGCAATCAGAACTCCCTCCAAGGCCTGTGTGGGGGCTCCCGGCAGCCTGAGGAGCAGGCCAGTGATTCTACTAAGTGGACACCTCAGGACAAGTGAGTCAGTGCCCATGGCCAGAGCTGTCTGTCAGCAGCTTGTTATATAACAGGACTCTGGCCGGTCTCCTTGGAGCTGGCTCACCCCCTACTGTTTTTAATCTCCACCATGTCCACCCTCTGCTTCCTGGCCAGCTGGGTGGTGGCCCTCGTCCTCTGACCTTGACCCTCTGCTGACTGCTGCCACCCCCCATCCCACCTGCTCTGGTGGGCTGAGGGATGGCACCCCAGAGGAGGCCCTGTCCTCTCTCTGGAACCTCCGGTTAACCTGCATGCAGATGGCCTGGGCCATCGGGAGGGTCCTGACTCAGGCGCGTTAGTCAGAGGGAGAATGGACACTGACGAGGCTGTGGACACAGGTGGGAGTGAGGTGGTCACAGCCAGGGAGCATCAGGGACCAGGGAGCCCCGAGGAATTGTCCCCCGGCCTTACTGACACCTGAGGCATAGCTTCCGGCCTCCAGGACTGGGCTGTGGTTGGAAGCCACGGATTTGTATTTGTTACAGCAGCCACAGAAAAGGGGTACAAAGGCCAAAGTTTCCAAAAAGGATAGACGCACACTCTGCTCTGTCCTTGAGCCCTAATGACAAGGGTCTCCTGGACCTCAACAGCCAGTCCTCCCAGGTAAGAAGGCTCCCTGCCGAGTGCATCTCACAGCTGACAGCTGCGCACCAGGAGGGCTGGGGGTGGGGGGAGGCCGTGGTGGCCTGGTGGCCGCGAGCTTCATTTGCACCGTGCAGCCCAGAATGTGGCTCCAAGGCGCCCTCGGGGCCCCAGTCCCAACCTGCAGCATACACACGGCCTGTCTCAGGGCAGGAACCTGGCAGGGCGGGAGGGCTGCACGTGCGGTGGGCATGGGAGTCTTTGGCCCTAATTTTAGACATTTCGGAACCAAGTGCAAACATGATTATCAAGGGTATTTATAGCAGCAAGGAACTGGTGCTGTTGAAATCACCTGCGTGGGAAGGCCACACAGACAGCACCATTGTTCCCTGCTGTCAGGTGAAGGGCACCCACCTGCAGGGAGGGGGTGTGGTCACAGCTGCCTGAACCTTTTTAAAGCCCAGGGCAGCCAGCGCTGCCTGTGCCGGGATCCTGAGCCCAACAGGTCTACCGGGGCCTTGGGGTCAGTTTTCTTCAGCGGCCTCCCTTTGTAAACTAACATTTTTCCTTAAAGCAGCAAAAGGAGAAAAATTAACATCCGAATATTCCACAATTGGAGAATTACTGCACTCTCATTGTCTTGGGTAAGCACCAGGCTGGAGTCCCCCTGGGTGTCTGGCCAGTCTCAGAGCGGGGAGGGCAGTGGGAGACCAGGCTCAGCCGAGTCCAGCCGGGAGCGCGTGGGGCTCAGGTGGCCACAGATGCTTCTGGCTGGCATTGTGCCCAGGGCCGGTTTGCTGGTGGGCAAGTGACCCAGGGTCGTGTCTGTGGCACTAGGTGTTTGCCCCTCTGGACGCTGGCAGAAAGGCTGAGGGTCCTGTGTTCTAGCACGAGACGGCCTTGGCCTTGGGCCTCCCGAGCTACTGGCAGGCCGGGGCAGAGCCTCATCACCTCTGCTTCTCTGCCCCGTCTCCCCCAGCATGAGGAGCGAGATGCTGACGGCGCTGCTGACCCTGGCTGGCCTGCTGCAGGTGGCCGGGTCTCTGAAGATTGCAGCCTTCAACATCCGGTCTTTTGGGGAGACCAAGATGTCTAATGCCACCCTCACCAGCTACATCGTGCGGGTCAGTCCCCAGGGGCCTGTCCCTGAGGACAGAGGGACTGCAGGGGCGGGGTTAAGGATCCCTACGTTATCTGGTGCACGGTCTAGGTTTGTGCCCAGGGCATCTGGGTAAGGCCAGGCCGTGGGTGCAGGGCAACCAGAGCCTTATGGGCCTGCCCTTGTGTTTTCACGGCTGGCGGCTGCGTCCCCACTTGGGCTTTGGCCAGATGGAGATGCAAACAGCCCAGGAGCAGCAGCCCTGGCTCCCACGGTGACCCTGGGGGTGGGGGACGCAGAGCCCCCTCAGCCACCTCCACTCAGCTCTGCTGCGGCCCCACCCCCAGATCCTGCAACGCTACGACATCGCCCTCATCCAGGAGGTCAGAGACAGCCACCTGACGGCCGTGGGCAAACTGCTGGACAAGCTCAATGAGTGGGTGACAGCTGTGGGGCCTGGGGAGGTGACGAGCACTCCCAGGGCGCAGCCTCACTGCACTTGGGGCCACTGATGGGGACGCGGGCAGGGCCTGCCTGTGGCAGCCACTATGTCGCCTCAGCCAATCTTTGATTTTGCTTCTCCAGGAAGGCCGCAGACACCTACCGCTTTGTGGCCAGTGAGCCCCTGGGGCGCAGCACCTACAAGGAGCGGTACCTCTTCGTGTACAGGCAAAGTCGGGGTCCCGGGGCTGGGGTGGTCTGAGAGTCCAGTGAGGCCCTGCAGGGGGGCCTGGGTTGCAGTCCCACTGCCCGGTGGCCGTGTCCTCCCAGGGACGCAGGTCAGGTGAGGTGACTGAGCGCTGACTGCTGCTATTCCCAGGCTCGTGGACTGGGTGCCAGGAGGCAGGAAGGGCAGCGCCCAGCTCAGGGTCACATGACCTCTCCCTTGACCTTGCCGCAGGCCTGACCAGGTGTCTGTCCTGGACAGCTACTACTACGATGACGGCTGTGAGCCCTGTGGGACTGACACCTTCAGCCGAGAGCCAGCCGTTGTCAGGTTCTCCTCCCCGTCCACGAGTGAGTGCTGCTAAGCGTGGCCCCAGCGCCTAGTGTCCACTCGGGGCACTGCCGTGCCCGTCCTCACGGCCACAGGAGGGTGGCCGCGGCCGGGGCCCTGCACTGACGTGGACCGTGCCGGCCGCCCTCTGCAGAGGTCCGCGAGTTCGCCATCGTGCCCCTGCACTCAGCCCCCGAGGACGCGGTAGCGGAGATCGATGCTCTCTACGACGTCTACCTGGATGTCCAGAAGAAGTGGGGCCTGCAGGTGAGGCCCGGCCCGGGCAGTGGGCTCCAGCGGCCCCACCTGCATCCGGGCCAACAGGTAGGGGTTTCCCGGCAGGATGTCATGCTCATGGGGGATTTCAACGCGGACTGCAGCTACGTCACCTCCTCCCAGTGGTCGTCCATCCGCCTGCGCACGAACCCTGCCTTCAAGTGGCTGATTCCTGACACGGCGGACACCACGGCCACCTCCACCAACTGTGCCTATGACAGGTGAGCAGGGCAGGCCTTCCACGCCCATTCAGCCCCTGCTGGGAGCCCGGGCTCAGCTGCGGCCGGCCAGTGCCCCGGGAGCAGGCCTGGTGGAAGCAGCCGCTCCTTCCGCACCTGCAGAATCGTGGTCGCCGGACCTCTGCTGCAGGACGCTGTTGTCCCCAACTCGGCCGCTCCTTTCAACTTCCAGGCTGCGTACGGACTGAGCAACCAACTGGTAGGTGTCCTCACACCCACGCTGTGGCTCACCTGGCATGTTCCTACTGCCTGAAACCCCTGGCCAGGGCCGGGGGAGGGCCTGCAGTCCCAGCCGTGTGGCATGTTTCCTCACAGGCCCAGGCCATCAGTGACCACTACCCTGTGGAGGTGACGCTCGCCTGATGCGGCGGCTCCCGGGCCCCACCCCCAGCACGGGGTGGGGGCTTCCTTCTCCAGCATCCCTGCCTCCCAGCGCCCACACAGAAGCCTGAAGTGTAGGTGCAGAGCCACCTTTTAATGCAGGTCAATAAAGAGGGTGCTTGGCCTTATGTGTGGTTCCAGTCCTTGCTCCCCGGGCTGTCAGTGTCTCTCCAGGGCCTTGACGAGAAGGTCATGGAGACGGCCCACCATGGGCCTGGGGTCATCCACCAGCCCCGCGGCGATCATGGCATTGTCGTAGATCTGGAAGGCATGGGCCCAAGAAACTTCGTAAAACTGAGCAGAAAACTGCACAACCGACTGGCTGCAGGAGCCTCCCCGCTGCCTCTCACCTGATCCGCCAGCAGCTGGGCCAACTCGGGCTCGCTCGCCGTCAGCTGACGGAGCTTCCTGATGAGTGCGTGCCTGCAACACAGAAGCCCCCAGTCAGCTCGTGCTGGAGCTGTGCCCCCCTGCAGGGGTCTCTGTCCTCCTGGCCAGGTCACCCGAACAGCTTCAGGTGCATGATTACAAGTGGCTGAGCACCAAAACTAAGGCGTGCTGCAACGCACGGGGTGGGCGTTCGGCTGGGCAGTTAAGATCCCTGGTCCCACGCTTCCCGCTGATGTCCTGAGAGGCAGCTGTCATGGGAGAGGTCCCAGCTCCTGGCTCTCGCCCTGGATGTGGTGAGCCTGGGAGGGAACCTGCAAACAAGGTAACACCTTCCTAAACCGACACATGCCGTTCTTTTACACTAACAGTGATTTCCTCCAGGGTCGGCACTGGAGCACAGCCGGCTCAGCTGTGGCTTGTGACCGAGCCGCCCACACCAGGGCACCGGGCTGAGTCCCTGCTGCTCCCTGTTAACACTCCCGGGAAAAGTGGAGGACGGTCCCAGAGCTTGGGCCCTGATACCTGTGTGGGAAACTAGGGGACGTTCTGGGTTTCTGGCTTCAGCCTGGCCCAGACCGGGCCACCCGGAGTGAACCAGCAAATAGAAGATCTTTCTTTCCCTCTGTCAACGCTGCCTTTGAAATAAAAAGTCCTTTTTAAACAAAGTAAGTCTTTTTATTTCCCATCTGTATTTGAAATTAGGTAATCTTCCATGTTTACTTTCCTGAGGGCAAAACAGGACCAGCTCAGCGCAAGTCAGGGAAACCGGGTTCCGCCAGGCATGGCAGGGAGGGACTGACCTGGATTCCTGCCTTATTCTCTGTATCAAATTCCGAAAGGATCAGACACTGAACACGAAACTCAAAGTGACAAAAGCAGAACATCAGAAGAGAATAGGTAGGATTAATCTCAGAAAGAAGCCAAAAAAGAAAATGAGAAATCTGACTATACCTAAGTTCTGCTCCTGCACAGGAAAAAATACTAAAACGATGAGAATGGCAAAGACTGAAGGTGGGGGGCGGTGGGGGGATCCGTGTGCCGTCTCGAAACGACACCGGGTGCTGCCGAGTCGGCTCTGCCACTGCCCAGCAGCTGCAGTCTCCTGTGTGACGAAGGAGACCCGCACGCCTGCCCGTCCCTGCAAAGCCACGAGCAACCTGGGAGGGCAGGAGGGACACTGGTCCTACACACTTCTCTCCTTGAACTCTGAACAACGCAGAGAAATGACCAGACTTACATGAAGTTAAAACTCCGAAGTCCTCTGGCCCTTTTGCAGGGCTCTCTGCTAAACACTAGCCCCACACCAGAGCCGCAGTGAGCAAGCCCGCGGCTGGCACAGACATCGGCCGCTCTTCCCCAAAGGAGGCCCGGATGCAGCTCCTGGCCGCGGCCATGGCGCAGCCCTGGCTGCTGAGGGGAGGGAAACAGCAGGTGAAAGAGCTCTGCTCGCCGTCCTAGCTCCACCTTGCAAACAAAACAAGTCCTTGACAATGCTTCTGGAATGTGAAGACTCGGAAAGCCACTTGTCAGTGGCCGAGTGGGCAGTACTGTCCTGACGCCCCAGGACAGGGACAGGAACGGCGAAGGCAGCATGGGCCGGAGAGGGCGTGTGCTGGGGCCTCGCCACACTCCAGGTGAACTGAATACAGGCGGCAGACATGAGCAAATGGAGGGAATTCCTGGCTGATTCTCTAGAGAGATTTTTTTTTTTTTTTTTTTGACAGGCAGAGTGGACAGTGAGAGAGAGAGACAGAAAGAAAGGTCTTCCTTTTGCCGTTGGTTCACCCTCCAATGGCCGCCGCGGCCGGCGCACTGCAGCCAGCGCACCGCGCTGATCCGATGGCAGGAGCCAGGTACTTATCCTGGTCTCCCATGGGGTGCAGGGCCCAAGCACTTGGGCCATCCTCCACTGCACTCCCTGGCCACAGCAGAGAGCTGGCCTGGAAGAGGGGCAACCGGGACAGAATCCAGCGCCCCGACCGGGACTAGAACCTGGTGTGCCGGCGCCGCAGGCGGAGGATTGATTAGCCTAGTGAGCTCTAGAGAGATTTAAGACCAAAAAGCATGCAGCAGATTTGTGACTTTGATTACGTCAATCAAGAACTCTCAGGTCACTGAAGGGACAGATGGGAAAGACACCAGCAGCGGCCAGGGCGACATGCAGCACGGTGACCCAGGAGCGAGAGAGCTCAGGAAAAACGGGAGCCCGAGGACCCCCAGGCCAGGGGACGCACGGAGGGGCTGGGGACCCGAGTCCCGCAGGCAACGGGACCCGCACCATCACCCCTGGGCACAGCAGCAGCCCCATGGGCGACCCTCAGAGACGCTCGGGTGTGCAAGAACGTGCGCAGACCCTTGCTCCCAACACTCCCACGTCTGTCACAAGGGCACAGCGGTGAAAGCTATGCGGAGGTGGGGGCACGTGGCGCTGAGTTACCCACGAGGGAGACAGAACAGGGGCCTTGCGGGTGGACCCTGCCTTCCACATAAATAAAGCTCAGGAAATCAGCGCACAGAGTTCTTAAGTTGAACCTAACCCGTGGGAGCACCAGGAAATGCCCCCTCAGGGCCGTCCAAACACGCAGCAGCTCCCTGCGCCCACTCCTGGTTTTCCACGCTGGGCTCACCTGGGGTTGATCTCGAGCGTGGGCTGCAGGAGCTGCGCGCGCTCCTCCTGGGTCCGGGCCAGCTGCTGCATGCGCAGGAAGTGCCGGGCGGCCCCCATCTCCAGCACAGTCACCATGGCAGGGTGGGTGTCCAGGCGCAGAGTCACCTGCAGGCAAGGGGGCCGCAGAGTCTCACCCAGGGATGAGGAAAAAAAGGGGGTGCCCAGGGACAGGCCCGCAGCGCCCTCAGAGTGGCGCTCCCTCCTCCTGCCCTCCCCCCGAAGCCCCCACGCCTCTGTGCATCCATGGCCGACTGCGGCTGGCGTGTCACCCAGGCCCCGGGCCTCTGCCTCCCCTTCCTCTCGAGGCTCGGCTGCCAGCGCTGGCCTGCCTGCCCTCGGGGCAGCAGACGGGGGAGGGTGTGGAGGGTGTGAGCCGATCCTCATCTGGTCTCCGGAACTCGGGCCAACAGCTGACCTGCCTCCCAGGTCGCCTGAGGCCTGACCGCGTAGCATTTGTCCAACCAGGACGCAGCCCAAGCCCACAGGGCAGAAGTGGGTGGCATCGTGAACCTGCCATGGCGCTCGGCTCCAGGTGTCCCCAGGAGCCCTCTGCCCACCCACGACCCTGAGCAAGCAGCCCCGCCCGGCCGAGGGCCACAGCACAGGGCACCGGGGCCCGATCTGGGGACGCCTCACCTTCACATCGGCCACGCGAGACCCCAGAGCATTGCGCATCCAGGCCACCAGCTCCTCCGCCTCCTTGTCCGAGAGCCGCGCCTCAGCTGCGGGAGAGTGGGCACGAGTGAGCCCCCCAGAAGCGCCTCAGCTGCAAGACGGAGCCTCTGACGTCCCCAGGGCCCCAATTCCAGCTCCAGCTCCAGCCCCGGGCAGAGGTGCCACGGGAGTAGCCCTGGAGGGGACCCAAGACCCCCACCCAGACAGCTGCTGTCATGGGGGAAGAGCGAGCCTGTGGGGACCCACCCTGCAGGGCAGGGGTCCTGGCAGGAGGGAGAGGTCGGCCCCCCCCAGACCTGGGGACGTGTCCTCGAACTTCTCCTCCTTGTAGTGGTCGACCACGATGTCGGTCTCCACAGAGATCAGCTTCTTCCTGTCGAACTCGCGCAGGTGCAGCAGGGTCAGCTCATCAAACTGCTCGTAGCAGAAGAGAACCTGCGGGCGCCACACGGATCCTGGAACAAGGGGCCCCTGGGGCACTGGGCTCCGGGCTGCCCTGGGGCAGTGCACCCACCCACCACTCACAAAACAGCGCAGGCAGCGCCCCTAGGGGAGCACAGCCAGATGGCAGACGTGGTCCCACGCCTCCTGGGTCAGGGGCAGCGCATCTTCACCACGCAGAGGTGGGAAGGCCAAGAGCCTCGGTGTGCCCAGCCCCCGCCCTGGCTCCAGCCTGGCTCCGCGGAAGACAAGGCAGCGAGGCCTCCGGGCAGCAGCCGTGGGTGGCCCCGGGGAGCCCCACGTGACCCGTCTCACCCACCTCTGTGTTCTTCTGTTTCATGGCCTCGTAGTAGGGCGAGTGCTCAGCCAGGTGCCGGCTGGGCGCGCACAGGTAGTAGATGTTGCGGGTCCCGGCCTGCATGCGGCTGGCGTAGTCCGCGAGACTGGTCAGCTGGCCGGCCGGCAGCGCCGAGGACTCGTAGCGCAGCAGCTTCGCGATGTCCTCCTGCGCACAGACCAGGCGGGCTCACGCTCTGGTGGCTCAGCCGGCCGGCCTCTGGGGCTGCGGTAGGCTTGCGGCAGTCTCTGGGACAGGCCCCACCTTAGATGGAACCCCAGTGGCCTGGGGCCTCCCAAGAGCCTCTGTGGGCAGCTGGCCTCACAAGGGAAGTTTCTCCCAGCTTCCCCACAGCCAGGGCTGGGATCCAAGTGGGACTTGGAGCTCTTAGAGGAGGGCTCAGTCTCCTCCTGTGGACGGGACGTGACCACTGGGGCCCGCGTGGGTCGGGGGGGTGAGGAGTGGCAGGCTGCGAGCCTGGGCCCCTGTGGACGGGACGTGACCACTGGGGCCCGCGTGGGTCAGGAGGGGTGAGGAGTGGCAGGCTGCGAGCCTGGGCCCCAGTGCCACCAGCCCGGCATGGCCTTCACAAAGCCTCAGTCGTAGGGCCAGTGCTGGGGCGCCGGCATCCTGTATGGGCGCTGGTTCGCGTCCCAGCTGCTCCACTTCCCATCCAGTTCTCTGCTGTGGCCTGGGAAAGCAGCAGAGGACAGCTCTAGCGCTTGGGCCCCTGTACCCGCCTGGGAGACCCAGAAGCAGCTTCTGGCTGCTGGCTTTGGGGTGGCCCAGCTCTGGCTGTGTGGCCATTTGGGAGTGAACAGTGGATGGAGGAGCTCTGCCTCCCTCCAACTCTGCCTTCCACGTGAAGAAAACCTAAGAAGAGCAGGACGCAGCACAGAGCATGGGCACCCGGGAAGGGCCCAGCGGACAGTGACGCCACGCCCGGGCTGCTGTGGCCTAAAGCAGGCGCCAGGCAGGCCCGGGTGGCGCCGCACGGAGGATTCTGCTCTGGGTCCTCACTTACAAGGCTTGCCCCGAGTGGGGCCCACACAGGCCTGCGCGAGACGCGGCCGAGGGCAGGAGGGCCCTGGGGTCCACAGCGCACGCTCCGCCCCTGCACTGGGTGCCAAGAAAGGTGAAAGCCGTGATGGCGACCACCAGGCCTGCATGGGGCGGCCGCTCACAGGCGCCTGCCCTGGCGGGCAGGTGGCTGTCCCGGAGCCCGGGGCACTAGCCACTCGGCACTGAGTGCGCTCCTCCTTGTCAGAGTTCACCTGACAAGACTGATGACACGTGAATTAGGTCGCACACGTCTTCGGGACACAGACACCATCTCACAGAGCTGCTGGCCACCGGGGCAGTGTCAAAGATGCCCCCGATTCCAACGAGAGCCCCTGCACACAGGCCCCCCCTACCAGGGGAGCCCGGTGCTCGGCTGGCCCCGCCTTGCTACAGACAGACAGCGCGTGTGTGCAGGGACAGGATGAGCTGCACCTCGCTGGGCCCGTCCCATCCACTGATGCCGCCACAGGAGCCTCCCCCTGCAGCCCCAGCCAGGGCGGACCCAAGGGAGGCCCAGCCACCAGCCCCTACCTTGACCTCCTGCTCCGTGGTGGTCACGATGCCCTCCCTCATGAACAAGCCGTAGTCCTCAAAGAACTTGGCGTATTTCTCAGCGTCCTTTCTGCTCTGGTCGATGAAGAATCTGATGAGCCTCTGCTGCAGAACTTCCCGCAGCTTCCTAGAGAACAGAGCGCGGCTAAGACACGCACCGGACCCGGCGTGCCCAAGGTTCCCCCCACCACTGAGCGCAGGCTTCCTAGAGAACAGAGCGCGGCTAAGACACGCACCGGACCCGGCGTGCCCAAGGTTCCACCCCACCACTGAGCGCAGGCTTCCTAGAGAACAGAGCGCGGCTAAGACACGCACCGGACCCGGCGTGCCCAAGGTTCCCCCCACCACTGAGCGCAGGCTTCCTAGAGAACAGAGCGCGGCTAAGACACGCACCGGACCCGGCGTGCCCAAGGTTCCCCGCACCACTGAGCGCAGGCTTCCTAGAGAACAGAGCGCGGCTAAGACACGCACCGGACCCGGCGTGCCCAAGGTTCCGCCCCACCACTGAGCGCAGGCTTCCTAGAGAACAGAGCGCGGCTAAGACACGCACAGGACCCAGGCGTGCCCAAGGTTCCCCCCACCACTGAGCGCAGGCTTCCTAGAGAACAGAGCGCGGCTAAGACACGCACCGGACCCGGCGTGCCCAAGGTTCCGCCCCACCACTGAGCGCAGGCTTCCTAGAGAACAGAGCGCGGCTAAGACACGCACCGGACCCGGCGTGCCCAAGGTTCCCCCCACCACTGAGCGCAGGCTTCCTAGAGAACAGAGCGCGGCTAAGACACGCACCGGACCCGGCGTGCCCAAGGTTCCGCCCCACCACTGAGCGCAGGCTTCCTAGAGAACAGAGCGCGGCTAAGACACGCACAGGACCCAGGCGTGCCCAAGGTTCCGCCCCACCACTGAGCGCAGGCGTGAGAACACCCTATGGCTCTGCAGCAAACTGACAAAGGCGGAGCAGCGAGGGTGCCCTGGGCAAGCACCGCCCCCTAGAGGCGGGAATGGGAGCTGACGCCACCTCCCAAGGATCCTGCCTCCAGGGACCCAAAGCTAAGGCCACGCTGGGAGGCAGAGTGATGGAGGTTTAGGGGCCATGGCCTCCACCATGGCACATAAAATACAAACCAATTATGAGCAATTTTGTTTCCAACAGGAGAGAACTGGTTAAAACAATGATGCAGGGCCCGGCGCTGTGGCATAGCAGGTTAACGCCCTGGCTTGCAGTGCCGGCATCCCATATGAGTGCCGGTTCTGGTCCCAGCTTCTCCTTGCCAATCCAGCTCTGCTATGGCCTGGGAAAGCAGTAGAAGATGGCCCAAGTCCTTGGGCCCCTGCACCTGCGTGGGAGACCCGGAAGAAGCTCCTGGCTCCAGATCAGCGCAGCTCCAGCTGTTGCAGCCATCTGGGGAGTGAACCAGCAGTTGGAAGACCTCTCTCTGTCTCTACCTCTCTAACTCTGTCTTTCAAATAAATAAAATAAATCTTTAAAAAAAGAAAAAAAAACAAAACAAAAAAAACGAATCAGGACCAGCGTTGTGGGCTGTTAAGTCCCGGCTCCTCCACTTCCAATCCAGCTCCCTGCTAACGCGCCTGGGAAAGGACGGGGAGACGGCCCCAACACCCAGCTGGGAGACCTGGAGGAAGCGCTGGCTCCCGGCTTGGCCTAGCCCTGCCCTGCATGCTGCGGCCATCTGGGGAGTGAACCAGCTAAGGAAGATCTCTCCCTCTCTGTCACTCTGCCTAAATATCTTCACCAAAGACACCCTTTCTTTGAATAATTCTCAGTGACCGGAAAAAGTGCCTAAGATAAAAAAGAAAGCAGAAAGATGCCAACACAGGCAACTGATGGTACACACAGGCTGTACGGAGCTTCTGTCACGGCATCAGCACCAGACGTGGTACACACACACACACACACACACACAGAGTGAGACCCGTGAACTACACACACACCACACAGTGACACTCGTACTGAACTACAGACACCACACTGTAGATCCATGTTGAACGACACATACATCACACCATGACACCCGTGAACTACACACACACAACACCTGTGAACTACACACACACACACCACACAGTGACACCCGTGAACCACACACACACCACAATGACACCCGTGCTAAACTATACACTTACCACACAGTGATATCTGTGCGGAACTATACACACACAGTGACGCCATGCTGAACCACACACCCCCTACACAGTGACCCTGTGAACACCCCCCCACACTGCTGAGGCCCGTGCTGAACACAGCTGTGTTCTCTCGGCCCACGCTGCTGAGGCGCCACACGCAGACCTAAAGTCTGAGCTCCCTGCAGGTGGGTCAGGTGTTCTTACTGAACTTTCCTTTAAGAAGTGGAAGGGAGGGGACGATCGTGTGACACCCACTCCTCCTCACCCCTCAGCCCCGGGCTGCACGCGCCAGGGCGGTGTCCTCACCCGCGAGGGACCACCGTGGCCGGGATGCACAGGACGTTCCCACGGGGCAGGGAGGCCTGGGTGGGCCTCAGAGCCCGCAGCCCAGAGCGGCTGTCCTCGCGGGGCCAGGCTGGGGAGAGGGCACCAGGCATGGGAGTCAGAGCCACGGCAGGCGCACAGGCAGGAAGACAGGCAGTAACAGGCCGGGTCTCCTCTGTCACAGGGCACTGCGGGGCGGGGCACTGACAGCCCACAGGAAGGTGCACGCGCACGGGCCCGCGTCCTGACTTCCGAACCCCACGTCCACTGTGGGGCAGGGCAAAGCCCGCTCCTCCTGTGCAGGAGGCCTTCGGGGCACACAGCAGACAAGGACGGCAACGCGCCACCGCCCTCAAACACCCACGAACCGCACGCTGTACCCCTCGCCACAGCTCACACGCCCACCCCACGTCACCACAGCTCACACGCCCACCCCATGTCACCACAGCTCACACGCCTACCTCACGTCACCACAGCTTCACATGCCCTACCTCACATCACCACAGCTCACACGCCCACCCCACGTCACCACAGCTCATACGCCCACCCATCACCACAGCTCATACACCCACCCCATGTCACCACAGCTCACACGCCCACCCCACGTCACCACAGCGTCACACACCCACACCACGTCACCACAGCTCATACGCCCACCCCACGTTACCACAGCTCATACGCCCACCCCACATCACCACAGCTCTCTCGCCCTACCCCACGTCACCACAGCTCACACGCCCACCCCACGTCACCACAGCTCATACGCCCACCCCACATCACCATAGCTCTCTCGCCCTACCCCACGTCACCACAGCTCACACGCCCACCCCACGTCACCACAGCTCACATGCCCACCCCACGTCACCACAGCGTCACACGCCCACCCCATGTCACCACAGCTCATACGCCCACCCCACATCACCACAGCTCTCTCGCCCTACCCCACGTCACCACAGCCTCACATGCCCTACCCCACGTCATCACAGCTTCACATGCCCTACCCCACGTCACCACAGCTTCACACGCCCACCCCACGTCACCACAGCTCATACGCCCACCCCACGTCACCACAGCTCATACGCCCACCCCACATCACCACAGCTCTCTCGCCCTACCCCACATCACCACAGCTCACACGCCCACCCCACGTCACCACAGCTCACACGCCCACCCCACGTCACCACAGCGTCACACGCCCACCCCATGTCACCACAGCTCATACGCCCACCCCACATCACCACAGCTCTCTCGCCCTACCCCACGTCACCACAGCCTCACATGCCCTACCCCACGTCATCACAGCTTCACATGCCCTACCCCACGTCACCACAGCTCACACGCCCACCCCACGTCACCACAGCTCACACGTCCACCCCACGTCACCACAGCTCACACACCCACCCCACGTCACCACAGCTCACACGTCCACCCCACGTCACCACAGCTCACACGCCCACCCCACGTCACCACAGCTCACACGCCCTACCCCACGTCACCACAGCTCACACGCCCACCCCACGTCACCACAGCTCACACGCCCACCCCACGTCACCACAGCGTCACACGCCCACCCCATGTCACCACAGCTCACACGCCCACCCCACGTCACCACAGCTTCATATGCCCTACCTCACATCACCACAGCTCACACGCCCACCCCATGTCACCACAGCTCACACACACACCCCACGTCACCACAGCTAACAATGATGGCAACGTCACAGCCCTCAAACACACCCATGAACCACACCACAGCACACGCTGTACCCGCCGCCACCACAGCGTCACACGCCCTACCCCACGTCACCACAGCTCACACGCCCACCCCACGTCACCACAGCTTCACGCCCACCCCACATCACCACAGCAAACAATGATGGCAACGTCACAGCCAGCCCTCAAACACACCCACAAACCACACCACGGCACACGCTGTACCCGCTGCCGCCACAGCTCACACGCCAAACCCCACGTCACCACAGCTCTCTCGCCTTACCTGACGTCACAGCATGATACGTTCTATGAAGACATCATCAAATCACAAGTTCTACCCAATGCCATCACCACAGCACACATGCCCTCCCCCACGTCACCACAGCGTCACGCAACTGCACAGGGACAGACAGACACGCGGCCACTGCAGAGTGAGGGGAGGGAGGCGCAGCTGCCTCGTCCCGGGGGATTCAGGAGTTCGCACTTGCACAGGCCCCTCCTCTCACCAGCAAGCTGGCCCCACAAGGCCGACGCAGCCTTGCTTCCGCGGCCGCCCTGGGCTGGCCACAGTGGTCCAGAGGTGGGAACACTTCCGGAACCCGAAATACCTGCTTTCTGTGTGTCAGAAGCCAAACCCTCATCAGTTCTGCTTAGCGAAACTCGCAAATCAGTGACCCGCAGGCACGCTCACAGCTCACGGGTGCCAAGAAACTGAAGCGGGGGCCGGGGGGCCGGGGGGCCGGGGGGCCGTGGCCGAGACCCCGCTCGGGGCGCTCGCACTCCACATCTGAGCGCCTGCCCCAATCCCGGCGCACTTCCTGCTAACGTGCCCCGGGAGGCAGCAGGTGATGGCCCAAGTACTTGGGTCCCTTTGCTGTCGCGAGCATTGGAGGAGTAAGCCGGGGCATGGAAGGCCTCTCTCTGCCTTTCAGATAGAATCAGTAAATACAAGGCACTGACGAGCCAACTCCAACAGGCGCCCACAACCACGGGGCCTGCGATGACCCCGCCGCAGTCAGCTCGCACTGCCTGGTGGCCTAGGCCAGCACCGAGGGCAAGGTCACGGCCGCCAGGGCCGGCGCGGTCAGCACAGGCTGGCAGGTTGAGCAGAGGTCTCAGGAAAGTAACTGAGGCGCACACTAAGACGTTTGGTGCGTGCGACCGAGGGACCCTCCGCAGTCAAAGCTCCCGGGAAGATGCAGGGAGCGTGAGCCAAAGGACTGGGGACGGCCCACGGCTCAGCCTCAGCAGCCAGGATCCGTCTGCGTGACGACAGCTGAGCGCCTCCAGTCATGAGTGACACGGACGGGCCCCGAAGACACTACACAGACCAAACGCGGCAGAGCACTGTCAATATTACCGATTCAACGTTACAGGAAACAAGAAAGACCCCGTGGCTGTGTCTGCTCGGGACAGTGAGGCGGGGCAGGGCTGTGGGGCACGGGGTGGAGGTGCTGCGCCTCCGCCCAAGCCCCCGGGGGGACCTGGGGCGA